GGCTAAACCTCTTCTTCAGACATGAAAGGATTGCAGGGTAAATTATATATCACAGCACTGCTTTGAGAGGATTATTACAGTTTGAAAGATTAAGAAGATGCTGGGTGTGTAGCCTCGCTAATTGCTGTATTAATGCCGATTCGAGGGCCTCTCACTGAGTGTGTTGGCTTTCCCTCAAAATTAGCATAAGGGGAAAATGGTTTGCTGGGATGTTAAAAAGACGATATTGTGATTAGATTTAGTTACCAGCCATAGAAATCAATAACATGTTGTCCTTTACATTAATGTTGATAAAGTTCCAGCCAAAAAAAAAGTCAGCCTGCTGTTTGTGTTTGCTGATTTCTATTTTCAATCTACAGTTGTTTCAAGCCACTTTTCAGAATGGATTCATCAACCCCCTTCATGCATTGTCTCATCAAAACAAAAATGTTTTGTGTTTCTATTTGATCTATGTTGCCGATTTCTTAGTTGCCTACCTGGTCAGATATCAAGTATGTAATTCCTCCCTACAGTACAACCTAATAATTGGTTGTGCTGCCCTTGGTGGTGGGAACTACCATTAAAATTAGTAATAACTTGCAATGATTGAGAAAATTCGGTTCATTTTAGGAAGAAAAACTTTAGTTTAATCACATCTAGGGCTTGTTAAAGCCTGAACACCTTAAGTTTATTTAACAGCATTTGAGAGGAGACGGTTTCTGTCTCCTTGAAGCTCAGTCGGCCTCGGCAGAGGGCCACTCAGGCTGAGCCTGGTTCTGCTGGATGGTTTCTTTCTGTTAAAAAGGAGTTTTTCCTCTCCACTGTCGCTACAAGCATGCTTGGTGTGAGGGATTGCCTTTGAGTCGGTGAGTTGTTGCAATCAGCTAGTTTTCCTTAGATAGAAAACTTACAAAGTTCTAGTAGGAGAAGCGAACTCATCTCAGCATCCAGTTGGATCTTTAAAGAAGCAATAGGATTGGTCTTTGTGGTGTTTTCTACAGGCGGCTGGAATTTGAAAGGCATACCATTTCTTAGTCTAATCTAATCTTATTGTTCAAGTATATACTGTACCTTTTCAATTTGAAAAGAAACCCCTGGATTGGACAATACAGCAGTGTAAGCCATCAATGATCATCCAGTAGCATTCTTGATGGTTTTTCTGTCTGGTTTAGCAAAGGCCACAGTGAGGACTTGCTATGTTAGCAATTATAAAATGAAACTGTTGTCTGACTTGTAGCTTTTTTTCCCCTCAACTTTAGCGTGACATAGTTTACAGATCTGAGCTCCCTTTTTTAGAACATAACTCAAGCATTGGAAATGATGAGGTGAGTTAAACTTCACCGGTGCAGACAGAAAATCTGTATGGTGTAGAACAGGGTGTCAAACTCAAGACCTTGGTGGCTAGCATCCTGCAACTTTACGATATATCACTGGTCTGGCACATCTGAATAGTATGGATTAATGACCTCCTCAGTTAAAATACTGTATTGCCAAATCATGCTAATTACCAGATTATTTTTATTAGGTGTTTTAAAGCAGTGACTTTTCAAAAAGGTGCAGGACACCAGCCCTCGAGCACTGGACTTTGACGGCTCTGGTGTAGAATGAAATTAACAGAGTTTTTGGCAAATTTTTGCCTGACCCACATGCATAAACACTCTTTGGATATGGATATAAGATTAAAAGATGTATTACAGGAAACCAACACAGAAATTAAGGGATGGTGTTCTGGAATCCAGGGTAGAAAAATTGTAGCAAAGCTGGTTGGATCTCTAAAGACAAAGGTGAGTGGGAGGAAACTGGTAATAATTGAGGAATGCAGACAGATTTTATTGTGAAGGGGATAAGGAACCACCAGGAATAGGTGAGTGGGATCCAGGGGTGTACTGGTGATGCCAGAGATCCAGGTGAGTTATGGAACCTTGAGATTTGGTTAGAAAGCTGACAGAGTTGCAGTGGAGAGATGAGAAGAAGCACAATGCTGGAGCAATGAATAGTAAGATCTAGGAATAATAACTGGAGATTTTGAGGCAACCATGAAGCAAACTGTAATGGCAGAATAACCACAGTTGGTTAACACTTAGGTACCAATGGACTGAAAAAAGGCTCTGCCTAAGCTCCACTAAATTAAGTTAAGTTGATTGCAGTAGCAAGGAACCTTACAGGCACCTGTCCTCCATGAAGTCACCTGGTACGACTGCAGAAATAAAGGATGATTGAAACCCTTAATCCCAATAGATAACTAGTAACATTAATGCAACTTGAACAATATTGTTATTTAATGCAATTTGTTCAGCATTTACACGAATACAAGGCTACACCTCTAAATTGCTACACAGATTAAGACTTATCCAAAACATCTATAGCATCCTTGAGATTGAATTCTGAATGGCACTAAAACATAATTTACTTTTGTGTCTCCGTGTGCCTCATTGTGAGGAAGGCAGATACACGATGGAAAGATGGGGTTAGGTTATCCGCCTAAAGAGGATTGTCGAGAACCATGTTTGAAAATTAGAAGAAAGAGTCATTACAGAAACATTCCTTTAGGTCTGACATTCGGCACATAAAAGTGAATTACAGCATCTTAAAATATGTGAAGAAAGCCGTGTTAGTGAGCCACACTGAATGAGGGATAGCACATGGGCAGTGGCTTCAGACCGAGAAGATGGACTGTTATAAACTCATTGATCCAAATCCCTCAGAGGGAACTCATTCTGATCAATACTGAGAGAAGTGGTACTCTGCTGTTTTTAAACCACTGCTCCCTTCATTCCCCCTCCCGATTTCTCAACTTGCACCTCTTTCATACCAACAACCTCATGCAGCCTCTCTTTCTCACACTAGTACATATTTCTGCTTTTTTCCGGTTAGACAACCTGCTGTGAGGAAACTGTGATGTTCCAGATTTGTCTACAGTTATTGGTGTTATACCATAACACTATCTATACTGGCATATTCTGCCACTGCAGCACACTTCTTGATCTCACCTCTCAAACTTGACAATATGCATCAACGGACCGGGAATTGCCCCAGTTTTGTTTCCAGTGTGAGAAGGGGACAGTTAAACAATAATGTCTCTTGCCTTTTCATTGGAAGAACTGGTGCAGAACCCAATAATAATAGCACAGGAATAGGTCAACAGGACCTCTCAAAGTCCCTGTTTGGTCATGAGTGAATGCAGTACTTGCAAAGGTATATTTCTGTAAAACTGGCTGACTTTGAAGGAGTGTATCTGTATGTAGAGAAAAGACAGCATACATGTTGATATGTGTGAAGGTGAGAGTTGGATAATGTGAATAAAGGTGTCAAGGGGACCACGCCGTCATCTCATGTTAGGGAGCTCCTTTTCAGGCAAATGCACCAAATTGAGGACACCAAACTGCTATGTGTACTTGTGTGTGTTTGTGACTGGGTGTCTTTGTGGTGGAGAGTGGATTTTTTTTTTTTCCTTCGTTTTGACTCTCCTTGTGTCTCAGGTGGGATGTGGGAATGAGATAGAGTCTTGCAGTGAGCTGCCAACAAGCAGATGGAGAATAAATCAATAAGGAAGTAGCAAAGCAAGGAAATGAGGGGAAGGGGAGGCAGGAGAAGGGAAAACAATTTGGTTACCATTACAGAGGAAAATCCCTCTCGTCTTTAAGTAAAGCTACACTTTGCCGACTGTCAATCTCGAACTCGGATTACAGATCTCTTGATACATTTTTAAAAGAGTGGGGAGAAGGGCCAGCAGGAAATATATTTTAAACCTTCCTGGATGAATGAAACACAAAGAACATTGCCGACTTCTATGTTCTCTTGCCTTACACAGAAGACTCAAATGCATATTCTTCAGATAAGTTGGACAATGTGTGTTTGCACATCCAAAAGGCACCTTTATTGCTGCAGGAAAAAATGTTAAGTAAATATAGTTTTTTCCCCCTTTAGGATGGAGATATTATCTTCAAGAGAAGAACCTGAATTGCCAACTACTAAGAAGGCAGCCAATGGAATGAGCTGATTAAGTGATAATGTTTGGAAGTGTTTGAAGATGCATATTGGACAGCAAGAGCTGGAAGCCAGGCATGGTTTGGCACTAGGCCTCAGGAAAAATCTATAAAACTGATCTCTCCCACCTACGTCTCTTCGTCGGATAACATGGATTGTTTAGAGCAGTGAGCACACATGTAGTAAATACACTTAATAACAAACTGCTGTGCTTTTTGTTTTAGACAATCTCTAAAGCAGATTTTTGGAGACAAGGTAAAAATGCTTTTCATGTGGAAAAGTCATGATAAAGCAATGCTTCTATTTTTGCTTTCTGCTTTATGATAACTTTTGAAATAAAAGGGAAGCAGGGTCATTTTTTTTTAATGTGTAGAAAAAAAAATCTCTGTTAATATTGAAAACTGCTGGCTTTGGCAAACTACAGTGTCTTTGTGAAGTGGCTGCTCTTATTTCTTTGTCACAAAGTTTGCTGATGACCCTGTAATTTGTATCATTGCTTATAACCAGGACTCTGAAAAATGTTATTGGCTGGTCTGAGCACTCATTAATGAAAGATGTCTGGAAAAGATGTTGAAGATTATAGAAAGAACCCTCCACACACAGTTTTTATACATTTTTGCAAGTTATTTCAAGTGTGTTAGAAACCTGGAAACTGTAAAAAAGAAAAAAAAGGTGCAAATCATGTGCAGAACTTCTTTTACAAAAGAGAGACTCGGCACTCCCACAATAAAAACATATATTTAGGAGCAAATGGCAAAAATATCTTAAAAAATGAATATAAGAAAACAATAAGAGGTCAGATCACCAGGAATATACAGAATTAAAGAAAACCTAGCTTAACATTTAACACGACTGACATATCTGATTTCATCTTTTTTTAATGAAAGCATAAGTACATTTATTTTAGTTTGACTTTATCTTATTGGACTCCTTTCCAATTTATGTTGTCCAAAGAAGTCAAAGGGAATAGCTTTGGAAAAGTAAAGTGCTTGTGTGTGTGTGTATGAAAACGGATATAAAGAAATAAAACTGTGTTTTTCTAAGTCAGTTGGTGTCGGACAGCTCTTGGCTTAAACGAGGGCATCTAAAAAAAATGCTTGCTCTGGGTTTAATTTGGAAAGAGCTCACTCATGACATCTGCACATTCACACTCATCAATAATTGCACATCCCTGCAGGGATGCTGGAAACTATATTTCACCTTTTGCATACATACACTGTGTGTGCGTGTAGAGCTACATAATGATTAATCTCTATAAGAAGCAGAAGTACAGCTTGATATGTTTATTCTTTTGTACTTTACCACTATGGGTTCAAGACCGCATTCACCTGTAACTTAGGAGAGGTAAGTGAGGCTGATTTGGGATCAGAGGGAAAGATTGTCTGTAATAACATTAACAATGCAGGAATTTGGCTGATCCCAGGTGATAATTAAACTGTGAGTGGTTCTCTGAGCAAGCCTCGGAGCCACAGGTGCAGCACAGCAGTGCTGAGACACTCCAGGTCATTCAGCGAGCCCTTTCCTCATCACCCAGCAGCCACCAGGGTCCTGTTAGGGTATTCAATTCTTTTTATTGCTGCCTTTGGCAGATATAAGCTTTCACTTGAACATGAAAAACCTCCAAAAGGAAATAATATTGCTCACATAAGTGCATTTGATTTTTCTATGGTTTATCACTTCACAAAGATCCTTCTTCATTATGTTCACATCTCTGTTCCACTCTTTCTGTCTTCATGTGGAGCTGGATGTTTTTTTTTTTTTGGTTCTCTTTCATTGCAGCTTGAGTCCAGCTCCGTTTCATCCTGCTTTGAGCTTTCACATCTTTGTTTTTGTTTTGTTGTAAAAGTGCACTAACTGGGTAGAGTGAATCACATTTATACCAACTTAATCCAAAAGCTATTACAACAGTTCTGATTTTTGAGGACATCATCAAACCAGGAATAAGGGCTACGTTCATTTGGGTTCAAAATGTCTCAATCTTGACCCTTTTCTGGAAATGAAACATAGAAATTAGATGTGCTTTTTCAGGAACTTTAAGTCTCTGTTCTTTGCAGTTCTTGTCTTCAGAAAAAATGCTGGACAAAATGTCTTCAAACAGCCCCCTCTGCGTCTTGCTGCTCCTCGATTCCCCGAGCAAACAGCCTGATTAGTCCACACTGGACACTGTGGAGAAAAGACAGCACACACACTCTGCATCATTGAGCCTGAAAACAAACCATAACTTTAATGGCTGTGCTCATTTCCCTGAGACTTCACTGACGAAGCGGCAGATGTTAAAGCGGTGCATCCACAAGTGCTGATTTATGCTTAGATTTCAAAGTGGAAGCTTTCAGCTCTCTTGAACATAAAGATCTAAATGGTAGCGATTTGATAATAAAACTGGATGAAATGCATCAACTCTGACATTTTAACACATTATAGCAACAATCTTTAATTATTTTACTGAAAGTGAAGAAATGAACCAACATTAATGGGAGTAAATCTGCACAGCAGGATGGTGACACCAAGGGGTTGTGTTAAACAAATATTTTTGGTAATTGACCTGTGTTAACAAAAGGAAGATAGAAAAGATCTGTAATTTCAGCAAGTAGCAATTCACACCCTGAGCACAAGGCGGTGATGTAGCGTAATAATCAGCTGTTTCAATCAGGTTTCCTTTCCCTGAAGTAACCTTGCTTGATCAGAAAATCACTCATCTTGCAGATCTCTGATCACCCAAATTTCACAGAGTGCAGATCCATCCTCCATAACATAAAAAAGTGTTGAGAAAATTGCCTGTAAATACCAAGTTCATATGAAAATAGCGTCTGCAGGAATCCAACTAGAGGAAGCTGTGAGACTATAGCCCGTTTTTACACTGCAGGCAAAAGTGACAGAAATCTGTTTCTTTTTATTATTACTTTTTTTTAGGGGTCAAGTGATCAGTTCAGGTTGTTTAATATGGGTGCTTGGATCTTGACCTTATCCCCATTGGCCGACAGGTGGGAAAGCTGCAAAAATATAGGTGATGCAAACTCTTGCAAAAGTCTTGCACAAAAAACTACATTCTTCATTCGCTGGACCTCCCTACTTATATACTTGTATATGTCCTATTTCTACATGCTTACTGTTGCGCTGCATTTTTTTTTTTTTTTTAAGAGCATGTAAACAGTTCAAACTCAAGTCAGATCCAGGTCAGGTTTTAAAGGGAAAGTCAACAACAAGACAAAAAACCCGAAATCCTTCAAAATGAGATTTAAGCATCAAGACCTGCTGTGCTAATGTAACCTATGTGGTCTGCCCACAGCAGGTAATCCTTTTAAAAGGGTTTTTGTGTGTGTAGAATCTTTTAATTTAATTATTTATAGGCTGATGTTGTTAATAGGACCACAGTGAGGTGGTTTTGTAACAAAAGAGTAAATTATATTTATTCATCGGGTTGATATGGATTCTCTGTTTAGCTTGTTTAGACTCTTTTGGCTAAATGAATGAAAATAAATACCTAAGATGGTTTAATTATTTCAATTAAAAGATAAAGTAGTGGGTAAAAATAGATAAGGATGGAATTTTATTTTAGTCCAAGTACCTAGAAGACAATGGAACATTTCTAGAACAGCCTTTGCTGCCCCCACCATGCTTTAAGATGTTGACAGTTTAACAATGTTGGCCAATGTTAGTTTTATGTCAATAAGTGAGCGTGTGGCTGCTGATCCTCAAAGATTGCTCCACGAATGTTAAGACATGCCAAACGGTGTGGTTCTGCTCATTAAAATGAGAAATGTTATGTTAAACTTAGTCTGAAAGTTTTAGTAAAAGGAAGATGAGGTCCAAAGCCATGAAGTTGGAGGCAATAATTTAAATTCATTAAATAATAATAATAATACTTATGGTGTATTTCACATATAAGCTTATCCCAAAGTAAATAAAACAATTGAAATAACTAAAGTTAAATATAAAAAAATATAGTGTATAACATGCATGTGCAGTTAATACAGAAAGCAAAATGTAAACTGATCTCAGCATCTCCGTTTACTTCATCTTTTTTGATGAGGAATAGATTAGTGGAGTACAAAAGAAGATGAAATGCTTTTGTCAGGTAATTTATGACATCTTTTCTTTCTCTAAATATTTAAGACCCAGTTCCAAAATCTATTCAACACATAAACTATTCAACAGAGTGCTTTAGAGCTGTGTGTTGGCGTTTTAATTATACTAAGAGACTTGTTTTAAAGGTTTGGCCCATCATTGTTAAACTTTAAGTTGAACTTTTTTTTTTTACATTTATTTTAAAGCTGAAACTCTTCCCCCTTCTACTTTCCTTTTTTCGCCTGGGCTATTACCATCGATTATCCGAAATACACTCCACTTGGCTTACTCTGGCAACGATTAGCGGCGTGGAAGGAGCAATAAATGGACGGACTTCTGCTTTAATTAAAGGGGAGTAGTCTTTTAACACGGGGAGGGCCGTTAAATTAGCAACATTACAGCGATATGCATCATTGGAGAAGAACAATGGAGCATGAAATAAATGATGCTTCTAGCGAATCCACTCCAGCTGTGCAGAGATCTGACAGAGGCTGAAGTGAGGACAGAAGCAAAGTAACGGGTGGGGGTATTCCATCCAGCTGCCAAAGATTGTTCAGTAGGGAGCTTGGAAAGGCTGTCATGACACGATGCTACTGAGGACTTGCAGGGCTACTGGTTTTCCCTCTGATTACACAAAACTGATTTTGGATTAGCTGAAACCATTAAAAAAGCAGATCCAAAACAGGGATTATAGATTTGTCGAATTACATTTATTCTAAGAAGAAGTTTTATGGGCCACAAACAGGATTTAAATGTAATTGGGAAATTCACTCTCTGCATTTAAGCCATCCCCATGGGGAGCAGTGGGCTGCCATTGTGTGGTGGCATTCTGGGGTTAGGCTTCTTGCTCAGGGACCGAGAGTGGCAGTCTGTGCACTGGAAAAACTATGTAGAAATTAGTAAAAATAACTTAAATTAAGTGCATTTACCCTTAATTTCAGTTGGTAAATGAGTTTTTTTTACTCTTAAAATAAGATAATATGCACTTGAAATAAGACAATGCAGTTGTCTTGTTTTAAGGGCAAAATGTCTCTTTTACTTCCTCAGTCCAAGAACAAATGCACTTATTTTAAAGGTACACTATGCAACCGGTGTTGATTTTCCAGCGAGGCTCCCCCCAGAGGGCGAAAGTAAAAGTGCACTGTCGTAAATATGCTCAGCTGTTCTCCTGGTTTCTCCATCAAGCCAGGCGCGGTTGTTTTGAGCTTAGCAGCGAATGACTAATGCTGCGTTCACACTGGACGTAGCTGGCGCGACAGAAGCAGCGAGTTTACATGCAAAGTCAATGGTTGACGCGTCAAGGCGTCAAGGCGCAGCAAAAGGTCCAGCGGCGCGTTTTGAGCACCAGGCGCAGCACGTCTGAGCAGCTGAAGCAGCGCATCGGGCGCGTTTAACCCAGGGAGAGAGACACAGCGCTGATGATCACTCCTCTTAAACAGTTTATTGACGCCTAAATTAACTTAAAAAGCAGAAATCTGCCGGCAGAATATGCAGTTTGGACTATTTAGATGAAAAACATCTACCAGCTGCCGCGGTGAACCGCTGCTGATGAAGGGATCCATACTGTCGGCGCATCCCTGGTATGTGGGGGTCTGAGCGGCTCCGACAGAAAAAATATTGAAGGCAGGATAATAATCTGAATGAACTGGCTGCACTGATTACGTTTTCAGGTGTATTTTCTCACTTAAACACATATTAAAACTACTTTATTCCCAGTGTTGTGCCTGAACGCGTTCATTGAACGAAAGTTCATGAACTCGTTCATATTTTGGGCGAACGTGAACTGAACGTACTGCATTATTGCCTGGTGAACGTTATTGTGAACTCGTTCCTTCTGGCGTCTGTGAACGGCACACTCTCTCAGTTCAACTCCGTTCAATAGGTTGCCAGATTTCTATAAAGCCCTCCAGGCGAAACCCCGGCTAAATCACACCGTAAACAGGCCTTAATATGTAGCGGGAAAAACACCCAATCTGGCAACACCAGCTACCAGCGTCGTAGCCTACAGCCGCGTGCGTCATCAAAACAAAATGCAGCGTGGAAGCCACAGCAGCGTGTAGGCGACAAAGCAGCAGTATGATCACTTAAAACAGGTTTATGACCAGGTGGTCGGTGAGGATGATGGCAACAAGTTTGCCCGCCGGCTTTCAGTAAAAAAATCCGCCCTTCAGTAACCTTAAATTCCTACCTCAGCCTGGTCCCTCAGTTTGTGTTAGTAAAATCTTCTTGAGCGGAGGTCTTCAACAGGGGATCCGCGACCCCTAGGGGGTCTACGGAGGTACTGCATGAGGGTCTGCATGGTTAGTTGATATTTTTATATTCCCCCCCTGCATTTTTTTCCCCCACTAATTGAAATGTCTTTAAATACTCATTAACATGAAATCAACACACTGTAGTAAACAGATAAATGGAGACAAAAGATGTCTTTCAGTCATCAATGCTCACATTCAGCGACACACAGGAGCTCTTTCAAGCTGGGCACCGTTTCATTCACAACAACCAGGAATCAGAATCAGAAAAACTTTAATAATTCCAGGGAGAAATTAATTTCTTTACATTACTCCATCTGTAATAGAGTGACTATAGGACACAATTTCATACAATATATATAGTTAGGGGGTCCCCGCTCCATCTCGCCATCAGTTTGGGGGTCCTTGGTCTGGAAAACATAGAAGACCCCTGTTCTTGAGGGTTTTACTATCCATGTAACTTGTTTGTTAAACCTGCCTGGTATAATTTTCCAGGATTCCAGTATTCCTTTTTAGTATGTATTGAAATGGAATTTCAAACGGAAAAAATTATTAAAATAAAAAAAAAACATTTGCACCTTAAAGACTACTTTCCTATTTTTCTTTTAATAATTACTCATAAAAAGACCATTCAAGCAGCACATTTTTCCTGATGTTTTTGAGAATATACTGTAGGGGTGAAAGCTGCAGCTGCTACTAGTGTGAAGTGAATGGACAGCAACAAAGCGTTAAAGCAACAATGGGGAAATGCTGTCCCCTCAATGCTAATGTAAACCCTGGTTGGATAAGGATTCAAAACTGGATAGGAAGATGAAATATGACGCACAGTTTCAGAGTTACAACTGATAAAATAATTGCTGTCTGTGGTTCTACAGTAGGCTATGGTGTAATTGAGCAATATATGAAAAAAAAAAAAAGAACTATGAACTAGTTCATTTTTTGGTTTTGAATTATGAACTATGAACTGAACTAGTTCATTTTAAAATGTGTGAACTGAACTTTGAACTAGTTCACATAGAAAGAGAACTTTCCCAACACTGTTTATTCCCACTGATCACAGCAAATATAGCTGCAAGGCGGAGAAAGGTTAGTGAAGCTCCGCCCAATGCGCCTCAGACACACTTTTGCACTGTGCAGCCAGAGCAGCAAAGCTGCTTCAGAACAAACTGGTACAAGCAGCAAAAATGAAGCAGCAGACGTGCTTTTGCTGCGTGAACGTAGCATTACTGCACAAAGATTGCCACTGTGCTAGCAACGAGCATGCTTTTAACTGGGGGGTGTAGCAGTTCTCGCCGTAAAGCAAGACTGACTTTCACGAGACTTCTGAGCCTGTGGGTGCGGGTCGGTGCTCCTGCAGTTGCAAGTGCAGTATTTCCCCCACAGACCACCAGGGCGGCCGAGAATACCTTTGTTCAACCTGAAATGACTCATTTAATCATCCATAACGTTATGGAACACATTAATTAACTGAAAAATGTTGCATAGTGTGCCTTTAAGAAAAAAATGACTTATCTTGATTTCAATTTTTTCCAGTGTGGGAATGAGATATTCCCACTGAGCATAGAGGATCTATACCCTTTTGAGAGGCAGTAATGAATACAGTAATGAATTAAACTATGAAAAAAATATAAAACATAGTGAAAAGCTCTTCTTCCTAACACTGCTTTCTCTTCCAAACTGTTCATGTAGAGAACAAAGCTAAAGACCTCTTCTTTAGATGAAAAAATGTGCTTAGAGTTACATTCAGGCAACAGGCACAGCTGTTTTATTTGATGCCTTTCCCTCATGACTTTAGCAGAAAACCTGCTTTTATGCATACGAGTGGGTAAAAAAAAAAACGGGACGGCTGCATATGCCCCGCTTGTTAACAAACCAAAAAACGAATTACTTTAGGTAAATGTGAGAAAATGAAATACACTTTGTTCAACATCAATAGTTGTGATGCTTTTTTAAGTATATGCATTGCATTTGGAGCAAACCTGCACAGTGTATTGTGTTTGTGCACAGGAATCAAGGGTGTAAAAGGTACATTTCCTTTCTCTACCCTTTCTTTTCTAATAAATTGGGGTACCATGCAATGTCCTCATACAGCTTCAGGAATAATCCTTATAAGGAACTGAAATCTTAGCAGTAAAGTACATTAAGAAGCAGGTAACTAGTACTCTTGATATTTCCCACATTATCTTGAGTTGCAAAAAAAAAAAATTGTTAACTACATCTTCTCAACAGTCCTCTCAGCTGTTCTTCAGATAAGAGGAAATAAAAACGTGGAACTATGAGCTTCAGTGAACAGTGAATATAGAGCTGTCAGCCACAAAGAGCATTATCTGTTTCCACTTAAGCTTTGAAACATGAAATATTCTGGTCAATTTAAGCAAACTCTGCAGTTTAATACCAAAAGGGAAAAGTCTTCACTGTGAAAATCCACCCAAGTGATGCAAGAGGTTTGAGCTTTGAGAGTATTTCAATATTTCTTCCATTACTGCGATATTATGTGCTTTGATTCGAAGCCATTAGGCAGTCCTTATCTATGCCGAGAGTGATTTTTGCCCATCTCTATCGCCACAAGCAGTTCCCTTTTAAGCTACGGGGCTTAGGAAATTATAATGAAGAATGCCTGAATATCCACATTAAGAAGCAAATGTTTTCATTTTTAACAGATTGCAAAAAACTAAACGTGCGGATAAAACATTCATCAGTAAAAGCAACCTTTTTCCAGTGTTGGTTTCTTTTTCTTTTTTAGTTTTGATGACAGATTTCAGTAAAACTTGTTGTAAAACTTTGATATAAAACAGCTACCATTACTGTATGATTGGATGTGTCGTGATCTTACCTGACTTGAATGGCAGCGTGATGCAGGATTTCGCCGTCGCAGTTCCAGCTGCTCTCGGCTGTGCTGTAGTCACAGGTTTCTTGGAGAGAGGAAGTAGGACTTAGGTCTGGATTCTCTGGATGCTCGCTCTGATCTTCTACAGGGACAAGCTCATGGTGCCAGGGCTGGAAACGAAACTTTCTCACCCTGTGGACATCCACAAACCAGTGGTCGAACTGGAGAGAGAAGGCAGAGATGGGGTGAGGAATGGAACGGAGGACACCTTTGTTTCAGATTTAATTATTATAGCATAAAGATAAACAAATCCCATAATGCAACTTCTCAGAAAACCAGGGAATATTAGACTATTAGAGTTTTTGTTACAGAATTGTTAGCTTCCTAAAACTAATGTTGAGTTGTATACAAAACTGAAATTTCGCTTTGTACAACTGTCAGAACTTTTCCAATCTTTTTGAAGTGCAGCAGTGATCAAATGTAAACAGTGTGGGAGAAAAAACATGGTGCAAAGAAGTTCAGAGCATTGAAATATATATGGTGTAACTATGCAGTGTTTTGGTTTGGTGTTATCAAATGATGAAGAGTTTGTGTGATGATTTAGAACGCTCTCTATGATGCTACTGTAGAAGGTCATGCAGATGGGTGTGGGCGGGTGGGCTCTACTCATCCTCTGCAGGAACTACATGCGCTTTTGTGCCCTTTTGACCAGTGAGGTGGTGTTTACAGTCCAGTTGAGGGTGTCTGTGATGTGCACCCAGAGGAATTATGAGCTGCTGACCACCTCTACAGCTGAGCTGCTGATTAGCAGTTGAGTGTGGTTAGTCTGGTTCCTTCTCTATCGACGATCTCCTACATCTTCTCCACATTCAGGACCAGGCTGTTATCTCTGCACCAGTCCACCAGCTTTGCTAAGTGTCTCAACATTTAACTATTTGTGTTGCCAACCAGCCCATCAGTGAGAGGACCACCCTGGGATTTAACTGCTTAGTTTTAATACCAGGGGGCTGCAAGCATTAACTCGGCTCTTATGTGTTTACTGATAATGTCTCCAAACATGGGGGCTAAGAGCTAAAACACCTGATGCAAAAGCGAGGACACATATGAGAAAAGGCATTAAATAACACGGCTATCCATTACAATGCTAGGGGAACTTTGGAAGATTAAATAAAAGAGGAAAGAGAGATGAAAAGAAATTATTTTGTCACAATCTGCTTTCATCTCTCTGTGTGTCGCAGAGAGGTTCAGCTGCCCTATCCTCTTTAACTTCACAGGGTGCCACTTTCTCTCTGTGCCATCCTTCTTTTTTTACCCCCCCCCCCTTTTTTTTTTCCTTATCCTTTCTCATCCTCAAAGCAGACTGACAGCCATTTATTTCACATCAAGCCCACTTTATGACTGCAGCCGCTTTGCATTCATGCTGGACGGTCTGCCTAAAAAGCTTTCTGACAAGGCCATGAATACACTTAGTGGCTCCTCACGTCTAGTCCCTTTCTGCTTGGTTGGACTCAGATGCTGACATTAACTCAGCTTTGATACAATGTCCCACTCGCCCTACTTGTATGACTGCGTGTCTGCCTTTCTCTGATGTGGTTTATGCAGTAAATACGGATTTAAACAAAGGAAGACCCAAACCACTGCTGAGGCACTTTAATCTGCAGCCATCAGAAAATGAGATGAGCTGATTTGATATCATTTTTATTCTCCAAAAGCTTTGACAGCTGGATTCGTGAGACAAAAAAAGGACTTCAAACTGACAGTCAGGCTAGCATGCCAGGCTCTTATGTGCTACCATGTAGACGGAAGCATGTCTAATCTACACTATATTGCCAAAAGTATTTGCTCACCTGCCTTGACTCACATATGAGCTTAAGTGACATCCCGTTCCTAATCCATAGGGTTCAATATGACGTCGGTCCACCCTTTGCAGCTAGAACAGCTTCAACTCTTCTGGGAAGGCTGTCCACAAGGTTTAGGAGTGTGTTTATGGGAATTTTTTACCATTCTTCCAGAAGCGCATTTGTGAGGTCGCACACTGATGTTGGACGAGAAGGCCTGGCTCTCAGTCTCCGCTCTAATTCATCCCAAAGGTGTTCTATCGGGTTGAGGTCAGGACTCTGTGCAGGCCAGTCAAGTTCATCCACACCAGACTCTGTCATCCATGTCTTTATGGACCTTGCTTTGTGCACTGGTGCACAGTCATGTTGGAAGAGGAAGGGGCCAGCTCCAAACTGTTCCCACAAAGTTGGGAGCATGGAATTGTCCAAAATGTCTTGGTATGCTGAAGCATTCAGAGTTCCTTTCACTGGAACTAAGGGGCCAAGCCCAGCTCCTGAAAAACAACCTCACACCATAATCCCCCCTCCACCAAACTTTACACTTGGCACAATGCAGTCAGACAAGTACCGTTCTCCTGGCAACCGCCAAACCCAGACCCGTCCATCAGATTGCCAGATGGAGAAGCGCGATTCGTCACTCCAGAGAACGCGTCTCCACTGCTCTAGAGTCCAGTGGCGGCGTGCTTTACACCACCGCATCCGACGCTTTGCATTGCACTTGGTGATGTATGGCTTGGATGCAGCTGCTCGACCATGGAAACCCATTCCATGAAGCTCTCTGCGCACTGTTCTTGAGCTAATCTGAAGGCCACATGAAGTTTGGAGGTCTGTAGTGATTGACTCTGCAGAAAGTTGGCGACCTCTTCGCACTATGCGCGTCAGCATCCGCTGACCCCGCTCCGTCAGTTTACGTGGCCTACCTCTTCGTGGCTGAGTTGCTGTCGTTCCCAAACACTTCCATTTTCTTATAATACAGCTGACAGTTGACTGTGGAATATTTAGGAGCGAGGAAATTTCACGACTGGATTTGTTGCACAGGTGGCATCCTATCACAGTTCCACGCTGGAATTCACTGAGCTCCTGAGAGCGACCCATTCTTTCACAAATGTTTGTAAAAACAGTCTGCATGCCTAGGTGCTTGAATTTATACACCTGTGGCCATGGAAGTGATTGGAACACCTGATTCCAATAATTTGGATGGGTGAGCAAATACTTTTGGCAATATAGTGTATATGCTAACTATTAAAGTAGATTTGGTGCTGCTGTTTGGATCTCATTACAGCTTAAAAAAGTAGAACATTGATTTAATGGTGCTGAAAGGAGAAAAATGGCAACAGAGCAGATAGGAAAAAGAAGCAATAGCAACCACTTAAGACACATTTTTCCACTTGCGTAGCGTGTCCTGAATGTTTAAACCAACTGTTTTGTCTTTCTGCAAAAAGTCAGCGACAAAAACAAATTGCTTATTGACTGAAAATACTATTGTGGGTCTTTACTGATGTGGAGCCAGTTGGAAAATGAAAGAACATCTAGCCTTTCTTTCCTGTCAGAAAACACGCTAAACGCCTAAAGGAAATAGAGACAACATTCCAGTGTTGAAGTTCTGAAAGAAAGAAGTATGAGAGTCACTTTGTATCCCCTACTGCCATGGCCAAACGCAGGGCCCAAAAAATACTATTGCGAGTCACTTCTAGTTTTTCTTCTAGATGTTCCCGTGCTGTCTGAGGAGCTTCCTGGGCTGAAATATTTCCTCATGTAAATTTTCTTACACTCATCTACAACTTAAACTGCTCTCAACCTGCATTTGTCAGCTCTTCCAGAGGCTGCTGTTACTGGCGGAGTCACTAGGAGCGTCTCTATCCTGTATGTAGCACAAGGGCGTAGGTTTGATTTGAACTTTGGTAGGGACACTATTGGTCTGGTGTCATTGGTGCTATGCAATATGCACGCCCTTTTTTATGCTCGATGTGAGCATCCGTACTGATAAGAGAAATTCATTGTTAAAAGAGAAAAGCAACATTTTTCTCCATTAATAAAAATGTTATAAGCTCTACACTCATTAGATGCTGTTTATCAATGTTTGGAGTATCACCGGCTCTGATGAATGTGGAATTCGGACTGTTTTCCACTTTGAAAACGGTTTCATTTGAACGACTAAGAGAGAAGGTAAATACAGTATTTTCTTTTGAAGATATGGAATTGTGCAGAGTTAAACCCCACTCTAATATTTGTACCTACTATTCTCTCTCTGTATCAAGCAAAAATAATACATTCATTAAAATATTAACTTCACTATAAAAGTTGAACATCTGGGCTGTAGTTACTCTGTGTAGCCAATTTCATGTATTTCATCTGGGGCTGAAAAAATTTATCATATTAATTGATTATTTCAATAATCGTCAACTAATTTAGTAAGTGATTCATCATTAACTGGAGTATAGAGACTTTAAAACATACAGTAATATAAATGTAAAATGTGCCTTTCCCCACAGAGCAACCCACTTAGATCAGTTATTATATCAAAATTGTAAAAAATAAAAACAAAAAAATGAAAACAGTAATATCAACTAAATATCGGTAAAAAGGAAACCCTCACATTTTCTTTTTTAGTTGGCTGTGGCTAGGAATCAGAAATGTTGATGGCTTACAGCCTTTATTTGCCCATTTTTCCAGCAGTCTTCAGAACTCCTGGCTGACTCAGAATATTTCGTTTTATAAAAGAAAAAAAAAGGTTTTTGTTTTTTAGTGTACATGATATTCATTTTTTTATTGGGACTAGTTTTGTAGCCTAATATTAATTGTAGTAACCGCTGCATTCTAGTGTGAATAAATTTTCAATGTTGTGCTCCAAGCACACGCGGACTAGAAAACAGCCAATCAGAGAGAGAGAAGGCGGAACTTAAGGCAGAACAACCAATGAGAGTGGAGTTAAACAGCGCAGCACAGTTCCATGCGCTGCAATGTGAAAGGGACAGGAGAGACCAGGCAGAGGAGCTGCGAGAGGAAAAGAAGCCACTGCTGCAACAACTACTGCTGTAAATTATAAACATGTTGCTCACATCCAATTATTGGTAGGGACAATTAGGTTGGTTCAAAATTTTGGTAGGGACATGTCCCTATGGTCCCTATGCAAACCTACGCCCATGATGTAGCAGTTACCGTATCAACATGGCATGCTGATGACAAAGCACGGCACGTATGCCCAAACCCTCGAGCTACTGTTTTAATATGCAGTCAAACAACTAATGGTTCTTCAAATAGAAAACACCTTGCAGTTTGTTGGGAGACATAGATCATTGACCTGAAGTCAGTTTCAGTGGGATTTATTATCAGTTTATTACAAAGTAGGCATAATATAAATAAAAGAAAATACAGAGGAAATG